ACTTTGTCTTTTTCTTTGAAAATACGAAAATCACGCACAAATTGGCTAAAAATGAGCAAAATTTCTGCAAGGATTTTCAGTAGCATTCATTCTTCAAACAAATTTTTGTAAGACAAGGAACGTGGATTGGAAGTGAGAAGGTGTGGCAGTCGAGTAGAGCAACTTGGCAGAAATGGCAAGGCAGTTGCGTCACTTCTTGTTTAAAGCAAGAGATGTGGTCAAACTTTCTACTGTCTGAATTTGGTACATTTAATGCATTTAATTTAATAATACTCTTGAATTTTGCTTCTACGTAAAACTATATTCTACACAAAGAAGTAAGAAATACCCTAAAAATATTTTAATTATGAAATACTTTTCTAATTCAGGCTTAACTGAAAGTTAAATTATATGAATCAGAAAAGAACGGTATACTTGAACAGCAGCAACATATTTATTCCCCGCATGGTAGCAGGATATTTTATTGCTGTATATTTTGGTTATTATGGGAAACAAGCCAAAATGCTTAAAATTATAGTTACAGTTTTTGACTTGTAGAATAATATTGTGGTGTGAGTTTTGTTCAAACTTAACTATTTACAAAAGCTACTGCAGTAAGATTATAGCGGTTATTCTATAAAATATTTGTATTTTTTAATATATTGGAAAGCTTAATATGAATTTGGTTTGCTTTTGGATTACCAAGCTAGCATGCCAAGTTTGGTCTAGATCGGTCAACTCGTTTAGGATGAGATGCGTCCACATACACGCAAAAAGTTTTCCTTGATATTGGGTACTTATCGCACCGGTATGGATTGATATGTATAGCGAATATGTGAAGAACGACTGTTTTTGTGGCACAACATGTACTAAAATTTTAACTACGTTCATTAGTTTCTAGACAGTTTTATGCTAGAAAAATGATCCCACTAATGTTTGCTATTTGCTTAGTACTAACGCTTAGTGAACGCCTGGTATATTCCAGCAAAATCGTCGTAATAAAAAAATAAAAAACACAGAGAGAAAAACATAACAATGCACACGCATACAGAGTTTATGATTTAAAGCCCCTCCAGTGCCACAGCGGAAAGCCTGCGGACTTATAACGCTAGAAACTGGGTTTCGATACTCGTGACAGGCACAACACAGGTACACATTCCATTGTGTCGATATGTGCTTAACAACAAACAAATCATGATTTTAAAAAATTATTGAAGTATAG